AAGTCAATTAATCTACCCCCGAAGGTCTGCAATTTCCCCATATCGACTACCCCCTCCCCCTCAAAACAAGCATTCAGATGCCCCTCTAGATATTTTTGCAACCACAACCTCCACCCTGCCTCCTCTCGACCCTTAGTTCTATAATACGCCTGAATCCCTGGCTTGGCTTTCAACTCCCACCAATCCAACACGCCCACCCCTTGATCCCTAGCCCCCCAGAAAGGTTCCCACCAATCTCTGAAAGATGTTCCCTCTCCCTCTGCAGTAAGAAGCCCCACATTTAGTTTCAAATATCCCGAGTATCTCTGTACTATACCAAGCCATGCCAGTTCCATCACAACTGCCCGGTGATCCGAAAACCCAACATCGATAGTTTGTACCCATTCGACCATAATCCCTGTAGTTACATATATTCGATCCAATCTCGCCGCATAGCCTCTCCTCACAAACGTGTGCTCTACCCTCCCCCTTCCCTCCCCACCACATCAGATACCCCTGCATCCCGCAACACATCCCGTTACACCCCGAGCACGCAACCTGACCGACGCGGCTCTACATCTTTATGCCTGATAACACATTTCCAATCTCTTCCCAGGATGGCGACCATGGGCAAACCCCGCCAAAAAAATAACAGAATGTCCCTCACAAAATCCACCTTTACTGGACTAAACCCTTTAACCGGCATATACACACTCAAAAAACAAACCTGGACCTTCCCCTAGACCCCCTCCTCCCATGCAAGGACTCGAAAGGGGCTGGACTCCTTCACCGCCACTGCCACCCCACCCTTTAGCCTCACCGAACTGCCTACAAACATTTGATAACCTTTCAACCTTAACTCATATCCATACTTATAATTATGTTCCTGAATGAAACATACATCCACATCGAAATGCCGCAAAACACTCTCTACCCATGCACTCTTCACTTCAGCCCTAAGGCCATTGACATTAATAGTTACACACTTGAAAGCTTCAACAAAGGGGGCTTTCCCCTATGCCTCTGTCCGCCTTTTAAAAAACTCGAGCCATCTCGTGCACTCATTCCCTCCTGTCCCTCCTCCCTCCTTTGTGCACTCCTCAACACCGACCTAGCTACATTCCCCGACAACTTCTTACTAGGCCTCTGGGCTGGCGTGAGAACCTCGTCATCTGATAACTCCCCAGCCCGTTTCCTAGAGCTGCTTCCCAGCTCCATCTCGAGATTCCCTCCAGGATCATGGACCTCAGCCTCCACCTGTAGTCGTTGCAAACCATCGATCTCAAAATCCAAAAGCCCTGGTTCCTTCCCCAGGTCCACAGAGCCAAGCTGGGAATCCGTCCCCACAGCAGATAAATCTTCCATCGGCTCATCCAGCAAGTTGCTGATCACGTCCTGCAGGGGGAGGTTCAAGGTCTCTTGGAGTGCACGAGACATCCCCTGCACCTCTGCCTTTGTTGCTTGTTCAATCCCCCTCCCCCGAGGGGCCACCCGATGCCTCCATCAGTGTCACACAACGTTCCTCCATGCCTTCAACCTCGTCTGCCCAAGTCATCCATCCGGCTCCTGCCACAGACACCAATGAGGAACACTCCAAAGGTGTCGACACCACCAACGTTGCCAAATCCATCGAACGTTGTGGAGCCATCTTTCCACACTCCGCTGCCATGTGATCAAAACTTCCGCACAAGCGACATGTTCGCCGTTGTCCAGTGTACGTGACATATACTTACATCCTGAACTCCTCCAGAACGACATAGGAGGGAATGGCCCTCCTCAACGTCATTTTTAAAGTGAAAGAACCTTCAGGCAATCCAGTGTAGAGCCCTTCCTTCCATCTTCCCAACGTCGCCGTATGCACCTCACCGTAAACCCTGAATGCCTCACTAACGTCCACAGCATCCACCTCAAAGGGGACGTTACGGATCCTTACCAAGGTGTAGGTTCGGGAAGCATCCCACAGACGTACCTCCATCCCCGAAGTCACAGGAAGGCACTTCTGATATAAAGCCACCGTCCGTTCATAGGCAGCCACTGAACAAAACTTAATGAAGATTCTTGTAGTCCCATTTAGCACTATGCCATGCAGCTCGTCGTTGCCAATACTGTATCTCTGATGATCGCCGGCAGCATTGCAGGAGCCGTTGTCGGGTAAATCGCACCCTTTACGATGTCAACACACACCGTATTGCTGCGCCGTCTGCCACCGGTAGCCATCTTGGAAAAAAAACAGGAAAATTGTGCAGGAAAACCAACTCAATCAGGAGCGTCTGCACAGCAGTTCCTCTCAGCCCGAGAGCGAAGAGGACAATGAAGGCTGGGAATCACCTGAGAAATACCTGATGAGTCTGTCACAGCTGCCTGCTCCTGTTACCGAGGATTCCTGCATACGGCTGGTACGTAAGTTATATGATTAGTAACTTACCGCACATGGCCGGGCATTTTTGTGTCTCGGTCACTAGGTTTTTTGGGACTGCCCGCCGATGGCTCAACTACCCCAGTTGGTACTCAAACTGGCGGGCTGGGGTGTTTTAAGGCTTCATTGTATATGGAAAGTGTAACTACTGCCTTAGGCTAAACGACTATCTCTGACTTAAATATGTGTAGAAGTGATGTAGTAATTAATGTGTATAAATAGCCTAGAAGTTACAAGGCTACTTAGTATTTAAGTATATACAGAACTGACACCTCTCTAAGCGTCGTCCCCCTCTTCCTTACATTCCCCCACCTGGGGGGTGGTCATAACGGTTTCTGGAAAATACCGATATTTTCCACAGGTCTACTGGTCGTCCCTTTATTAGGTGCCAATCAAGTGGTTTCTAAGACTTTGCAGGAAAGCTGTATTTGTATTTCCTTCTTTGTATTTTCCTTCGTGTTGATTTTCTTACTTGCAACCTCGATAACATCGAATGGCACTTGTTATTACTGTTTAGGTGTAAGTATTGAGTTATAGGTTAGACAGTACTTTACGTGCTGTCTTTATTTATCATCCTCTTAGCTTAGATTATGCAGTGAAGTGGGATATAATATTTCTGGAAGAGTACGATCAATTGTTCATTGACTTCCCAAATTTTAAAGATTTCTATATTATCAAATTTCATTTATATACTTTGCTCAGAATCATAGTAATTGGGCGGCATTACTGAAAATAACTTATTTATGCACCCTGTGGTAAAGGTAGCAAATTAGGCGACTTTAAAAACACTCTATGAACAATTAACATAATTTTTTTAAGTAGTGAAGGGGTAAGCCAGTGGAAGGCCTCAGTCAGATGACCAACATCTCTAGTGGCGGTTCATCATATGACTAAGACCCGCTTCCTGTTTCCTGACGACTCTTTCCTAACACAACAGTTCTGGAAAGTGAGCCATCATCAGACTGGCGCCTGGAAATCTCTATTTACTATATTCATGATGATTGGCCTATAAGTGTCAAAAGGACACTCACGAAATCGTAATGGCACGATTGCAAACAAACCATACCACGGCCAGGCTAGCGGGAGATTCGCCTGTAAAAACTTGCATTTGTGGTCACAGTGGTGCCTATGCTAACCTTTCTATGATGTAGAAATATATCTAGTAGGATGAATCTTATTTTAGCCAGCTGGTCCAGTAGCTAGCTGGCCCAGTGGCTAACGCGTCGCTCTGGAGTTTTGAGACTCTCAGATCGCGGGTTCAAACCCCGCCCGTGGTATGGTTTGCCGACAGAGGACTTGGGAAAAGCTGATCATTTAAATTAGTTTGACTGGATCAGTTGACACAATTATTAGTCAGTAAGGTACCAATAAAAGCTTCAACACGGTCATTATACAACACAATAACTGGGTAACTCAAGGTGAGTGCTTGCTGATGAATTGTTGTTTTGATTATTGCTGTCATTTTGTTGTCCTCTTGCGGTATTGTGATGATGGTGCTGGTAAGTATGATGATGGTGCTGGTAAGTATGATGATGGTGCTGGTAAGTATGATGATGGTGCTGGTAAGTATGATGATGGTGCTGGTAAGTATGATGATGGTGCTGGTAAGTATGATGATGGTGCTGGTAAGTATGATGATGGTGCTGGTAAGTATGATGATGGTGCTGGTAAGTATGATGATGGTGCTGGTAAGTATGATGATGGTGCTGGTAAGTATGATGATGGTGCTGGTAAGTATGATGATGGTGCTGGTAAGTATGATGATGGTGCTGGTAAGTATGGCTGTGGAGTCACCGAGTAGTAACTGGCAGTAGGTGCTAATGCAGATAACATCTGGACTTGTAGTAGTGGATGATGACGAATAATGGACGCACTTTAATTAAACATAGCAGGGTTCAAACTTCATGACTCTCTGATGACGGGTTCTATCAGCGCCCGTGGTAGGTTTTTTTTTTCAAATATCTTGTTCAAAACTCTTAAAGAAGTTGACATAAGCTGCGCATGTCCTTCAACGGCTTCATTTCCAACTCAGATCGACTGGAAGCTGCGCATAAATTGGGAAGATGACAATTAGGAACCACTGTCATGTTCACAGTCCATGTGGAAAACCAGCCCAAGTGGATACAGTTCACTTGCGGGGAATTTTATCAAATTCAGTCACATTAAACAACTCCCAAGACCACTCTCGCGGGAGAGACTTGATAAAGGCCACAGGGGTCTGAGGCTAACCATGTTGTCACCGAGTAATGTTTAGTTGTAATATTATTTCATATTTTAGTAGGAAGCTTCAATTCTTCCCTCATGTTTATAAATCTAGTCCACACTGGAGCACTAAGAATTATCCTTATGACTCTCGAAATCGTAACGACACGATTGCAAACAAACCATACCACGGGTGGCGATAGAACCCGCGATCCGAGTCATAAAATTCCACTGTAGACAGCTGGCCCAGTGGCTAACGCGTTGGTCTGTAGTTTTATGACCCTCTGATCGCTGGTTCTGTCTCCTCCCGTCGTATGGTTAATTATCCTTATGACCATGTTCTGGATTACTTCAAATTGCATGGAATGTTAATGAAGTATACAGCAAGGCAGTACGTGAGAGATCTGATGAACAGTATGTAGAACGATACTAACATTACTTCCTACAAGAGTAATAAGTCTTTCTTGAAGTGTGTGGTGTAGGTTGCATACAACATAGCTGTTCATTTCAACTGCTAAATATTTGTATTCTTCACAAACCTCAGCGTCAGTGTTATTGACCTAGTAGGGTGGCAGATTGTCAGTGCAGACACTGGAACATAAGATTTTGGTTTTGTCTTTGTATATTTCAAGACCACAGCCAATGCTAATAATTGTCAAGGCTTCGAATAGAGCTTGTAGTCTGTTGGATGTGTTGATGAAGATTTCATCTGCATAACAAAGACAGTCTTGTCATCTTGTGTTGGGATGTTTGAGAATCAAATTACTCTATAGCATTTTAAGGCCTCGCTTGGAACCCACTTCTACGGGGAGTAAGGACATGAGATGGCGAGCTGTTTAGTTCCAGACTTGAGAGCGGGCAGTTCCCAATCACTCTTAAGTTGGAATAGTGACAATTTGGACTCTAAAAAAAATACATGAAAGAAAAATTGTGAGAGATATAGTAAAAATCATATGAGTAAAAGATCTTAGAATTGGCCAGTCTATAACATACTGGAAACACGTCCAAATTCCTCCAGCATTTCTGTGTTGAAACGTTAAAGTGCTATTTACTAAAGGAGTGAGACTGAGTACTACATCGGAGGAGTGCCCGGCACAGATGATTGTTGGCTGTTAAAAACAGTTCTGGATGTATCTCCCAGGGAGAAACCTTCAGATATTTGGGGAGAGTTGGTGTTGTATTTGGACATTGATCCTCTACATATACAGGATGTTCATGAAATAGGACTAAACTTGTAATAAAGTTGGTAGAATTACCGACAATATGTAAAGTAAAAGGACACAAGTGCAACTAATGTGACGTTTATTGTGGCAACGTTTCGCTCTTCAGGAGCTTTATCAAGCCATTACAAACAATACATGGACACAGAGGGTATATAAAGGCTCAGAGGTGAATACTAGTGAGGTACCATTTCGATGTTCACTAGTGGTAGTAGTAGTAGTAGTAGTAGTAGTGGTAGTAGTAGTAGTAGTAGTAGTAGTAGTAGTAGTAGTAGTAGTAGTGACAAAAGTAATACAATATGGTAGAGCAATTAATTCGTACATGAGTAAAAGGATATAAAAGCTATTACTTGGGTAACATAAAAATAGGTTGGACAAATATAAACTGGAATGAGGCAGGTTGTTTCAGTGTTCACTCTCTGTGCTTTGTGTAGTATAACAGGAGAGACTATGTGATGGCAGGGTTTACTGTTTTCAGGAGGATTCTTGCTAAGACTTCGGAGATGGTGAAGCTGCCGTTGTTTTGTTTAATTGTATTCGAAACAGCGATCAGTGCTGATTCAAGGCACTTGCGTCTGCGGAAATTAGTTTCTTTTATCACTAATTGGGCGTCTCTGAATTTCATAAGATGATTGGTGGAATTTCGGTGTTGTACACAGGCGTTGTTTAAGTTGTCGTTCAACCTCGACACCCGCCTCAATGAACACATATACGCATGTAGGAACGACAACTTAAACAACGCCTGTGTACAACACCGAAATTCCACCAATCATCTTATGAAATTCAGAGACGCCCAATTAGTGATAAAAGAAACTAATTTCCGCACACGCAAGTGCCTTGAATCAGCACTGATCGCTGTTTCGAATACAATTAAAC